TGTAAATCTCCGATTTCGTTGAAACTTGGAAAATTTGAAGGTTATTCATGTAGAAATCGGATGGCACTTGAAATTTTTCCTAAACCTGACATTTAGTTTTCCCCTATATAAGGTAGGAGAAAGGTGTTAGAATAAAATATTTTTTGAAAAATGTAAAGCAGTGTTCTAAGGGGTAACTCGTCAAAGTAGTGCCCTTTGGGTCAAAATTTTGTCTGTTTTGCTCTATTTTGAACCGTTAAAGCGGTAGAGGGATATTTGGAGCAAAAAACAGTGTCAGGCTTAAGTAAACCCCTAATAAATGTTAAGTTTAGGAAAAGTTTCAAGTGCCATCCGACTTCTATTATAATAACCTTTAAATTTTCCGAGTACCAACGAAATCGGAGATTTACACCTGAAAAGGTTCCCTTGTAAGTGTTAGTCCCCGATTTTGTTCCGCCTTGGGGGTTTTGTAGGGTGACCGTATACAAAACGAATATTGAAAATTCGTGCCTAATTTCATATTCGTCCCTATCGGGGAAATCAATTTTCTCCAGAAATTACTAAAAGTCGCATTTTTCTGTAAATCCAAAAATTATCCAAGGTTTTTATTTAGTTTTAAAATGTCAATTTATGGCCGAATACAAACTGGCGGTTATTTTTCGGATTTTTCAGAAAAAAATGCGATTTTTAGTCATTCCTAGAGAAAATTGATTTCTCCTATAGATACGAATAAATTGGGCACGAATTTTCATCGCCAATCGTTTTGTATACGGTCACCCTACAAAACCCCCAAGGCGGAACAACATTGGGGACTAACACTTAGATGAGTTCCCTTGGTAGCCTCACCGCACACAGACGTGCGTGCGGGTTTGCCTATCGTCGCTGACCACGGCGCGCTGTAGCCCCAAGTGTTCGGCACGGTACGAGTGGGTGGAGAAGAGGGGGGGCGGCAATATCAAGTACGCAGCAATACAAGAAAATACTCCGCACCCGCACAATTCACAAAAATACAAGAAAAATTCACACTAAGCGCACCCAGGAGAAGCCGAGTTGCACTCCCCCCACCCCCACCCCCGCAGAGGAGACGGGGATCTTTGGGCCACACTGAACCAGATCAAGCAGCAAGAAGCCTCCTGGTGTGCGAGCCTGCGATAAGAAAAAAAGTCGCTACGCTACGCGCTATGTTTGATATTGGGAAAAAATAAAGCGCGCGATAGTACACAACTGTCATCGCATGCATTTGTAATCATCGTCTGACTCCAATTTTTGTGCAATATTCTTAGTCTTATAGTCATCGACATTTTGTTGCAATCTTTCTTTTTTTTCGTATCGCGGGAATCATTGCAGTTCTTTTGCAGCAATGAGCGATTGCTCAAATCTATGTGCGATAAAACGTAAAGAAACGATGGAAATCCCTCAGCAACTCACCGTGTATTTGGGCGAGGGATTGCAGTGTGTTGGCATTGCAGTTAAGGAATCCTGGAACAGATAAGAGGTCGTTAGCTTTCCTGTAATATCAACTCCTGCAATCAAGGACAGGCGTGGCTGACTCAGCGCAACCATGCAGGTAGCAGTAAAGTCGGAAAATTTTACTAGTGCAGTGTAACTTCTGTAATTTCTACGGTCCTGGATGTTATTTTCCCGTAAAGTAACGAAACGAAATCCTTCCTCCTATACTTTCTTTCCCTTCCCCCTAGCGAACTTGTCTGCCAGGGGAAACATTTTCTCTTCGTTTAATAAAGATCTGGGGGAAGAAACAACGAATACATCCATACAAAATCAGAAGGGAATAAGGATTTCTCGTTTATTGAAAAAAAAAAGAAAGAAAAAGATGACCGAGGTCTCCCCTCCTTATGGTATAACTCTAGGGCGGTGTACTGGAACAAGAAATCGACATTTCTTGAAAAATACAAAAATGTTCTCAAATTTGATGGGAAACGTTATACTTTCCCACCTGGCATCAACTCCACAATTCAAACACATTTTGCATGATTGTGCCCGATTGCACACCTCAAATCCGGGTGGTAAAGAACATGTCAAAAACAAAATAAATCAAAGAATTTTCCAAGGTCCAAGGTTCTTTTCGCCATACAGTTATTCGACGAGCTATCAAAATGATAATGAAAACTCCTTGCAGTGCAGCTTCACCCCCCTTTTTCACTATCAGACGGAAACTCGTCCCGTGTCGGTTCTTCTTTCGCCGCAGTGTGTCATCGAGCAGCAATTGACTTCGATGAGGTCGGGTGAGGCAGGGCGAGACGCACGGGGCGGACTGGTGGACGGACGGACACTCGGCCAGGCAGACGGGCGGACAGTGCCCTCCATTGGGACCGACAGTGCCGGCGCATCATCCAATCTCACCACGGCGACTTCCTGCGCGCGCCAATAGGACTTTGCACGCCAACTTACGGGCATAAGTCCGCCTTATTTCCAGGTTAGTTGATTTTGTGCGGCCCTAGGAGGCCTAGTTCCACACTCAAAAAGTCTTTACTAAAAAGTATGTTCATATTACGGACGTCGAGCTAGGGCTGGGCGGT